ATGGCGACTGATGTAATCTGCCGGATTCTGCTCATCTTTCCCTGGTCTGTACACGAGGGTGTAGTTGTACGGCATTAATCGAAGTCTCCACCGTTCGATTCTTGCTGATATTGGTCTCTGACTGTTGAAAATGCCAAGTAGTGGCTTGTGATCCGTAATGATCTTGAAGTTTGATCCATACAGGTACAAATGAAAATGTTCGACTCCCCAGACCACTGCCAGCATCTCTCGCTCAGTCTGTGAATATCTCTGTTCGGTGTCACTGAGCGCTCGACTTCCATACCTGATGACTTGACCTTCTTGACAAAGTATTCCGCCAAGACCTGCTGGACTGGCATCCACTAGCAGCTCGGTCTTCTTGTGTGGATCAAAATAACTCATGACTTCGGAACTCGTCAGTGCTTTGTTTAACTTCTCTAGGGCATCCTGTTCTCTGCTACCCCAATTCCATGGTGTATCTTGACGAGTTAGTTGACGTAAAGGCTCTGTCAACGTTGCATAGTTGGGAATGAATCTGGATACGTACTGTGTCATTCCGAGCAGTGATTTCATTTCACTAATGTTCTGTGGTGGGTCCATGTTCGTGATGGTACGAATTTTATGTGGGTCAGGAGAAATTCATTTCTCTCCAAACACATGTCCATAGAATGATATAGAGTGTGTTGAAAAATACGCAATTGTCTTGCTGAAGTGTTACTCCGCTGTCTTGTAGCTTCTGTAGAACACCTCTGAGGTTCGCCTCGTGTTTCCGTTGGTTTCGGCCATGAATAATGATATCATCGGAGATATTCAGACAGCCTGGTATGTTCTGTAGTAATTAAGCAACAGCATTCTGGAATATCTCTGATGCTGCATTCACTCCAAACAAAAGACGCTTGTATCTTCGCAATCCTACGTGTGTGCTGAACGTTGTGATATTTCTGCTTTCAGCATCTAGCTCTAGCTGATGGTAACCTGAAGTCAAATCAAGTTTGCTGAAGACTGTTGAAGCATTCAGATCTGCAATCATGTCATCCACCGTTGGCATGGGGTGTTTCTAAAGCTGTATAGCTTCGTTGGCTAATCGCATGTCAACACAGATGCGAACATTCCCTGACTTTTTGGGTACCACAACGATGGGACTGACCCAGGGTGTAGGACCATCAACTTTCTCCATAATGTCTAATGACTCCAGTCTTTCAAGTTCTGCTTCTACACTTTTCCGAATGTGGAAGGGTATGCGTCTGTGTGGCTGTTTTCTTGGTGCGACCGCCTCATTCACATGCAAGTGTACTTGTTTCCCTTCTATTTTCCCAATGCCTTTAAAAAGGTCTGGAAATTCCTTCAGGACTTGCTGTTTGACTTTCACACTCAAACTTGTCGCATCCGACTGAACAGAATTGACATTCGTCATATTGGTCGACTTAATGTTCATGATCAGCAGTTTCAAGTCACTTGCTGTTGCATAGCTCAAAATGTTGCCCGTATCACCCTTGACAACAACAAATGTTGTTGCTCGCTGTACACCATTTCTTTCGAGTTGTGCATCTACTGTTCCAAGTACTGGGAGTGGTTGATTCGAACCATATGGAAATAAACGAGTTCTGGTCTTGGACAACTCGAACTTACAGTTGTGTGTATTGGCGAGTCGATCGTATGTGCTACCATCTAAAATGTTTATGCTCGAACCAGAATCGATCATGACTGTCACTGGTGTTCCTTCAATCTTGAGTTCACACGTTGGGTGTTTCATTGTTGACTGGGCATGCGCATGTGTCACGATATAGACATATTCATCATCATCACCAGTGTAAGTATTAAGACTCTGTGTTGTGTACGTCACTTCTAACTTGTCTGACATGTTTCTTTTCTTCCTATTTCCTGCGACGGGCCAGACAAACACATGAGAAATGATTGAGTATTCCACAGTACCTGCACACTTTGCCCTTGGCAGGACAGTTCACATTGTGAGGATAGGTTTTCCCACAATAACGGCAGGTTTTAGGTGCCTGTGACTGTTTTGGTGAATATGTCCAGGATTTCCCTTGTGAACCCACCATACATGGGCCTGGGTCCACCGTGTGACTGTGACCTTGCACGACTGCCATGCCTGATCACGCCTCTGCCTCGTGACTGTCGTGTGTCACCGTCATGTGATGTATGTTTCAATGCATTCACTGTCTCATTACTCGCGTGTCCACTTTCCACATGTCTCGCCTGACTTTCACTCAATTATAATGCTCGAGCAGCATCCAGCAAACGTTGCAAGTCTAATTCTTCACGCAAAGCACGACGTCGCAACTTGCTGTTGGTACGATGATGTGAGATGCTATTTCTTTATCCTTGTCCGCAAATTCACATGTTTTCGCGAGCTGACGTAATCGTATTGCATACGCGTCAATCGTTTCTGTGTTTTCTTGTTTCGCCTGCCGAAAATTATACAGTTCGTACGTAGTGTTTACTTTGGGCTTGAAATAGTCCGTCAGCGCTTTCACTGCCTTCGCATAGTCATCTTCCTCGCCTCTGTCATCCAAAGTTTCAAAGATATCGTCAACATCGGGACCAGCATAATGTAATAGCAATGCTCGCTTCCGTGTGGGGTCTTTAATGTCCAACGCGACCACCAGTCTCTCGAAACGTGTGAGCCATTTCTCCCAACGTGGACCTGCGTTCCCGTCCGAATGCACATATCAAATGTCGGAAATTGTGGTAAGCTTGACGCCATTTCTATGTCTCCGCGCAGCTTGCTTTACCTCGTCGCCAGATATAATGTTTCTCGTCTTGCTTATCAGACACAAAGGTTTGATCTTTGATAAATAAAGTCGTAAAGTTTTATTCTGAACAACCGTCACTATAGTCACTCCATTCTCCCTAGCTCGGATCCTCTCTCTCATACCACGTGACTCCTAGCGTCATAAACATAATATAAGGACACTACAGGAGGGAGCGCGGGAGCGTGGAAGGGAGGAAGGGAGAGAGCCAGAGGGAGAAGGAGAGATAGAGGAGAGGGAGAGGAGGGGAAAAACTGTACGTGGGGCCGACGTTGAATGTCATCCACCACTTCTCACTGGTAAGCAGGAGTAGAAAGAGGGGGAGGGGGAGAAAGAGAAAGGGGAAGGGAGAGGGGAAGAACTGTTTGAGGGGCTTCAGGATTTTCTTTCTTGTATGAGCGTGAACGTGTCTCTAGGGCTAACGCTCCATTAGGAGTGTTCCTAACTTTGATATCATTAATGATTAATGATTAATGATTGATAATCCTAACCCTAACCCTAACCTAAATGACATTAAACCACAAAAGTAATATATGACCATGACCATATATATATATATATATATATATATGTTATACGTTAAACGTGTGGATACGGATGCACTCTCTCCATGCAGTAGGCCCGAGAGGATAGACTCCTGACGTTATTATGACCATTAATGACATTAAAGTTGGTAACACTTCTAATATTACCCGTCTCGGGCCTACTGGAGAGTGCATCCGTATCCACACGTTTAACGTCTGACGAATAAGCCAGAGGCGTGTTCAGGAGAGCGAACGCTCGAATCGAACGCTCGCTGCACGAACGCAGCGTCTCCTGAACGACACACGAGCGCTCGCTGTGCGCTCGCTTGATCAAAGATGGCGGCCCCCATGGAAGGTTACTCAGCTGATTTTAATGGCGAGATTTTAATGTCTTCGAACAAGTACTGTTAAACGAATTAGCAGACGAAATTGGTACGAATTGAATTTAGAAGTAAATGAATGAATGAAAAATGAAATAAAGTTGAAATAAATTGCAAATTGACGTCAGAAATGTTAGATTCACATTCGCCAGATTTTCCGTCGCCATCTTGTAAACAACCCGCGCGCTGAGCGAACAGCGTTTTGAATTTGCAAGCAAGCGCTCGCGAGCGTTCGGTCTCCTGAACACGCCTCAGGTCGTAGTTACGCATTGAGCATGCGCGAGATTCTGGAGTGAACTTTGTCCAAAGGTCAATTGTACATAAACCGTTCGCTGTCTCCGTTCCATATATGTGACAGCAAGTGGAACCGTAGGTACTGTATTTGTCCAAGTTTAAAATAAAATCACATTCAACCAAGATTTGCCCAATATAGAATGTGTGTAAACTTCAATATATATTTATACATGTAGAACAAATACATGGTATTTGTTCAATTAGGTTGCCTAGCTGTTACTAAGTTGATAAATGGAAAAATGCTTGGTTATAATTGATATCCTGCCTTTTAGGTATAGGGACACATGTTTATAACGGACCCATGGAATGATTTCAGTACTAATTTGTTCGATCACTTTATTAGAGAGAATCAGCATGAAATGACAATAACTAAGCAAGTATTGCACAGATTGAAACACGGGCGTGCTTACAATCCTCTCTGGTTCCGGTTCCGGTTCCGATCGCGCATGCGTGCTGGTACAAGGGACCATCGATTATTATGCAGGAGCGCCGTATAGTACGATGTTCTCTAGATTTCAGTACTAATTATGCCAATAACGTAAAGATGCATNAAGAGGGATAGATGTTTACATTACTCAACCTTTTATTTGCTCTTGCCATGAAAACACACCGGTACCATATGAAGAGCATTGTTTTCTCTGCCTATTAATGTCCCAACATTAGCTTTATCATTCAGACAGTATGATCCACAACAGTAAATGGCCATGTGGATGTGTGTGAACGCGTGCGCGTGTATGATAAGATGGAGACGTACTTAAATGCCTGCTTGTGCGTAGGAACGTAGGTACGTCACAATATTGTAATACGAAATGTCTGAATCGCCCCAGTGACATCTTCCTTAGCTACTTAGAATAGAGGTAAACACGGGAGTTTGTGTACAAGTCTCTATTAATAAATAAGTGCAGGCCAGCCAACTCTTTAACAAACTTCGGAGAGTGAGGACACCAGGGAGAACCGTGAGGAAGTCTGATAGCTTCATTAAGTACCTGTAGTCATTGAATATGTTCGTTTGTATCTACTTATAAAATGGCCTGGATTTCTGTTGCTGTGTGGGGGTGTGTTGTGTGTGGTGTGTGTGCGTGTGTGGTGTGTGTGTGTGCTGTGTGCCGGCTATATCGTTTTACAGGCACCGCTCAACAACGATCCTCTCCAAAACTTGGTCGAAACATTCACAGATCATTGACAGCGTTGCATGGCGGCTATTTTATTCAACAGATTTAACCTGTTTTCTCACATCCAGCGTTCAAAACATAAAATAGTGTGAAATTTTCTGCACCAAGCGCGGTGCAACGTCACCATACGAAAAGCACAAATGGCAATAAAAAACAATGCCTAATAACAAAGCCGCCGGTAGATTTTCGTGTAGATTTTCATAGAAGTCGCCTCCATTCCTTAACGCCCATCATTAATCTAACCCACGAGAAATGTTATACATTGCTTTCTTAATGGAGCGCATTTCGTTATAACAAAATTTTAAGTCAAGGTTTCCACACGGCAAAAAATTGTTTATAACAAGTGCCCAGCTAATATACGTGCCACCAAAAAGAAAGCAATCCACTGGGCCACGTCGAGCAAATATAGCATCGACAAGATACCGCCCCGAAGTCCCTGTCAGAAACTCTGCATGTCGCAGGTAAATTTGTAGTAAGCGTAAACGTAAAACGTACAACGTTCAGACTGACCTTAATAATTCTACTCCTTAACAAAGCTACTTATTTTTTAGTTAGTGTGTGTATGCGCACCGCGCGCGCGCGTGTGTGTTATGTCGTGTAGTCATAATGTATGTGTGTGTGTGTATATGTGTGTGTGTATGTGTGTGTGTATATGTGTGTGTTTGTGTGTGTGTGTGTGTGTGTGCGTGTCTGTGTACATGTGTTTCACCATGATACGCCGCCAGTTCCCAATCTGCCCTTCCTTTGCGATGACAGTCAACAAGTCACAAAGACAGTCCCTTCACCGTGTCGGCGTCTACACGGTCAAAGACTTCTTCAGTCACGGCCAGTTCTACGTCACTACTAGCCGCGTGGGAAGTGCCCTGCAGCTAAAGATTTTAGCTGTAGATGTCAAGGACACAACTAAACGTTCCATCATGAACAATGTGGTCTACACAGAAGTTCTGACCACCTAACGGGCATGGACTAGTTACTGTAAATAAACCATTGTAAAAATTTCAAATTTCAGTCTTTTAATTGAAAAAAAATGTTGCGGTATCCGGGGAATGATGCGAGCCTGGAATTTTTCTTGGCGGGCCTGTAAAATCCCTCACCTACAGGCCTGTAAATTTATGTGTGGTTACCAGGGATAGAAATTAATTTGAAATATTTTGTTTTGGACTTATGAGCATATTTATATACGAGTATGCATAATACTAACAGTAACAGTAATAATACTGTCATAATAATGATGCTATGTCTATATAATGTAATAGTAATAATGTCTGTAACAATAATACTGTCAGTATAACAGTAACTTAAGTAGGACTACAGTAAACACACCAACAGTTAACTGCAGCGTACTGACCTGACACGGTGAGGGACGGTGGCAACAGTGTGCGTCAGTAGGCCTAATTGTAAAATCAGTGAATATCAGATACAGAGAGCAAATTAAATTTTTGATGTCGTTGTTGACGATATGACCGCAGTGCAGAGCTATCAATTGCATTAACTTTGACTTCGTGTTCGGCACAGTTCCTTAGAAATTGTGAAACTACATTTTACACAACGGGTGAGGCCATTTGCATTGTCGTGCGCGCCATCTAACGAGCGCTATAATAAACAATTCGAACGGCGCATTAGCGGGGACGTCATAGATATAAGATATAACAAGATATAACAGTTTTATTTATCGCTTTCAATATTCATAGATATATAACCCATATGATATTATATTTCATATCCCATTGCAGTTATCCAAACTCTGATAAGAGGTATCCTATTTTGATGACTGCATTGCCAACAAGTGTGCTTATCATACTTCTATCCACAGGCACTTGAGGCGCGTCTCAAAAAAAGAAGCTAAA